AAAAAAAAAAAAGAATAAAGATAAATTTAACCAAGGAGGTAAAAAGTTTGTATTCTGAAAACTATAAAACACTAATGAAAGAAATGGAGGAAGACACAAATGGAAAGATATCTCATGTACACAGAGTAGAAGAGTTAATGTTGTCAAAATGTCCATATTACCCAAAGTGATGTACAGATTGAGTGCAATCCCTGTCAAAATTCCAATTTCTTTTGCAGTTTTTGCCTGGGGCTGGGTTTGAACCCACAACCTATGGCATATGGGGCCAGTGCCCTACTTCTTTGAGCCACAGGCACCACCCTCAAAATTCCAATTTTTTCTTTTTTTTTTTTTGAAACAGAGTCTCACTATATCACCCTCGGTAAGGTGCTGTGGCATCACAGCTCACAGCAACCTCCAGCTCTTGGGCTTAAGTGATTCTCTTGCCTCAGCCTCCCAAGTAGCTGGGACTACAGGTAGCCGCCACAATGCCTGGTTATTTGTGGTTGCAACTGTCATTGTTTAGCAGGCCCAGGCTGGGCTTGAACCTGCCAGCCTCAGTGTATGTGGCCAGCACCCTACCAACTGAGCTAGGGGTGCCACCAAAATTCCAATGTTATTTTTTACAGTAATAGAGAAAACAATCCTAAAATGAAAGCACGAAGGACTCTAAATAGTCAAAATAATTGTGAGTAAAAAGAACAAAGCTAGAGGCATCATACTACTGATTTCAAGCTATATTATAATACAAAGCTATAGTAATTAAAACAGCATGATAGTGGATAAAAATAGACACATCAACCAATGGAAAAGAATAAAGAACCCCAAAATGAACCCACATATTTATAGCCAATTGATTTTCAACAAAGGTGTTAAAAACACACAAGGGGAAAAGACCAGTATCTTCAATAAATGGTGCTGAGAAAACCAAACACCCCCTGCCCTTGCTCTACTCCAAGCTTCGAGAACCTAGGTTTCTTTCACGTTAACTGATCTTCCTGACTCTATTCATATTTACATTCAGAGGCAAAGAAAGCTGAAGCTCAATTTGGAGCTAGAGCTGATAAAGGACCAAAGTCAAGAGCGCCCTCCCTTTCTGCCTCCATTCCCCCATCTGTAAAGAGAGAGCACTGGACGAGGCTGTCTCAGAATGTTCTGTTGTACTGACAGATGTGGAAAGAGGGGCACATCCAGTCAGTACACATACTCATTGCCAGTGCTGCCAGCAGAGCCCCCCGGGAGGCTGAATGCCCAGGGCTGTGGGGAGTCCACCTCCCTATCTGAGCTGCCTCTGCAAGGTCTGGTACGGATGGGGCAACATGCCGTGTTGGCCACGGTCACACAGCCAAACAACTCACCTGCAGGCAGTTCCATCCCTGCCCCCACCCACTTCACAGCTAGGGGACAATCTAATGCTCCTTCTAGCCATGCAGCTTAAAGAAAGCTGCTTTGTTTCCTTTAAAAGATTTAAAAGTGATACACAAATTTTACAGAAATAATGAGAACTAACAAAATCATTCTCACTGCTGAGAGATCCCATTGGTTATTTGGGAATTTGAAGATTTTTTCTAACTTTAGGATACAGACATCAAACAATTGCCAATGATTTTTTTCAATGTGCATACGTTGTTTTTACCAGAATCTACCTTTCACCCAGAACAACTCATAAGGAATTCAAGAATATGCAATAATGATATCATCTAATCCAGAATAATTTTAAGAGAAAACACAGTTCTAACTTCCCGAAAGGAGTGAATCAGGAAAACCAAGGGAAAAGGCATCCACACAAGGTACAGGAAGCTGGAGATGAGGCTCAGTCTCCAGAACAGCAGTGCAAACTTGCTTCGCACACCCTCCTCCCTAAATCCTCCACCCCTAAATGTCACTCACCTGCCTTTCTTAGACATCTCGTGTACTTCTCTTCCTGGCCAGTGCACTCTGCTTTCAGTATCCAAAACCCATCCCCACCACAGAAAAAAGATGCCAAATTTCATATTTTGGACAGTCAACATGAGTTTCCAAATCCAAACAGCTCTTTTAAGAAACAGCAAAAAGGAAAAAGATGTTCTTTTTCTCTCTTAAGACATTATTGGTCTGTTCATTATTAGAAGGATGTTTACTCATGCAAAAAAAAAATCTACCCACAGTATGTAATCTGGAAAGCAGGAGAAAGCAATTTCCACTAAACCTATAAATCCTCCTACGTCAGATGTCAGGGATTTTCTGAACTGAGGTTGAATTCTTGTGTCCCTGTGGAACGATTATTTGGATCGTTCTAAATTAGTTCATCATCAGATGTAGTACACATGTCGGTAAAGATCTATTTTCTGGTTCATTGAATAGAAGGAAGTAAAAATGGACTAAAATGAAAAAGACTGGAGGTGCTGAAATGTTTCTTGCGTGCATGTCAATGAGCTCCTCCCTGGATCTATTTTAAGCTTCCAGCCATTATTATTTGCTCTAGCCCAGGGCTGGATTTGGACATCTCCCTGCCCCCACTTCTTCCTGTGGCTGAATCTGTGAAGCCTCAGGACTGGGTACCTGAGCACGCTGTGTGTATGGCAGAGAATGGGAGGGCAGGTGAAAAAGAAGCTTCTCCATCTCTGTGTTGCTCAGCTACAACTAAATTTCCTTGTTAATTGTATTTCTTTTATCATGAACCTCATTGGACTTTTCACACAAGAAAAATACCAGTAATAATTTCACTGTAACTATCGAGTCTGTGACAGCTATCGACAGATAATTCTTTTTCTTTGGTGCTTGCTCTAAGACTCTACTATGATCTACAGGCCACAGTTTTTCTCTTTATCAAAGGACAGTCTGAGAGCCTAGTGGAAGACACTGCACTCCAGCTGTCGACATTTCAAGGCAGAGCTGACCTGGCTGTGTAACTTTCTGCACTATATTGGTGGATTGAGTCAGTCAGAATTCTACAGTTGAAAAGCAGACAGTTGGCTGAGAGAGATGGCTCCTGCCTGTAATCCTAGCACTTTGGGAGGCTGGGGCAGGTGGATCACTTGAGCTCAGGAGTTTGAGACCAGCCTGAGTAAGAGCAAGACCTCATCTCTACTAAAAATAGAAAAATTAGCCAGGCATTGTGGCAGATGCCTGTAGTCCCAGCAGCTCAGGAGGCTGAGGCAGGAGGATGACTTGAGCCCAGGAGTTTGAGGTTGACCTATGATGCCACAGCACTCTAGGCAGCAGAGTGAGACTCTCCCTCAAAAAATAAAAATAAAATAAAAAAGAAAAGCAGTCAGGTATACAAAATTGCTAGCCCAAGTTCCAACAGAATGAAAATTAATTGCAGAAGACTGAATGAATTGATGAGGGAAAATGTATTGAGGTTAGTTGGAATATAGCTGATTTATTTAAATGTTCTATTTTCTGGATGTGTAAGAAGCTCTTTCTCTTTTCTCTTATACTTCCTGTAATTCACAATAAGTTTTTAAATTTTGATTTTGTAAACTCAAGTGAAGAATTGAGTTCCCCTCCTCTGAATGAAGAAGCTCTTCTGGGCACTTTATCGTAGTGCTATAGTTGTCTACACAGGGTTCAGTGAGACTCCACTCTCCTTTTGTCAAAATAGAACTGGAAGAATCAATTATGCCATAAAGGCCTTGCCTGGAATGTTCTATCTGAGAATACATTTAACTAGGTATGATTGGCCATTTTAAGGAACAAATTTTGGCTGTATTCATGGAGTCAATAAAGTCCCCCTAGGAAAACTGGCCTAGGTCCAGTTACTATGTCCAGCCTCACAGGTGATGAGGAACGTCACTTCCAGGCAACTGCTTGGGGTATTATTCTGAAACCTCTAGAAGAAAGAAATCCACTTGAACAAAGTACTGCAAGAAGAATTTGGTGAAGTTCCTTGAACCTCATTTCCTAGTCTTGGCTGGATAGAAAATGATAGATGCCTTTGCCAGTCCAGTCTCAGACTCTTATGAGAAGGACTGGCTGTACGCGCTGCTGAGACTTTGCAGCTGGGCTGCTTCCTCCACCAGGAAGCTCCATGGCAGAGTCCTGAGGGGCAGGGCCGGGTCTTAGGGCCCTTTTTGCTTTTGACACCAGCTAACCACACCAAAGCACCCCTCACTGCGAACTTGAGAGCTCCAACCACATGCACTTTGCTATTAAGTGTTCTTAATAAACTTTACTTTCTGGTAACACCAGGTGGCTCTATTGCAAAGCAAGTCTGCACCATTTTTTTTGAGGCAGGCTCTGGTTCTGTTGGCTATAGTGCAGTGGCATCATCACAGCTCATGGCAACCTCAAACTCCTGGACTCAAGTGATCCTCCTGCCTCAGCCTCCCCAGTATCTGGACTACATTTGTGACTGACTACAGGTGTGCCTTCTATATAGGATAAGAATATAGAAGGGAGTTGGAGAGAGAAAGTGCAGCCTGAGAGAGCCAGTTAGGGCCCACATCAGAGCTTCTTAAGGATCTGGACTGACTTGCTAAAGTATTACATTTCCACTGCAGTTTTTAAAGCCACTATTTTTTTTTAACCAATCTCTCCTTTTCCTTTACTCAGTATGCCAGCTGCCTCCCTCTTCTCCCCTTTCTATTCCTTAACCCTCCAGGTCTTCCCTGCACCAGGTCGTGTCTCCAGGATAGCAAGTCCTTCTGTGGGGAGAGGACCAGGCAGCAGCTGACTCCAGCTTGCTCTCTTATGGTCCTCAGAGTAGCCCGGCACCTGCACAAGGCACTCCCTCGCTGACGGGTTGAACATTAGACACCTTAACTCACCTACTCCCCTGGGCCCCAGGTACTCATCTGCTGTTTTCCACTTGCTCCCTCTGCTCTTCTGCTAGCTGCAGCTGCCCCCCCACCCCCGCAGGTTCTGTATCCAGGGATTCAGCTAATCCAAGAACAAAAATATTCAGGGAATAAAAAGCAATGAAAAGTGGGTGGTGCCTGTGGCTCAAAGGAGTAGGGCGCCAGTCCCACATATAGGAGGTGGTGGGTTCAAACCTGGCCCTAGTCCAAAAAAAAAAAAAAACAAACAACAAACAATGAAAAGTAATACCACAATAGTAGCACAAATCCAATTAAATAATACAGTATGACAACTATCCATATAACATTTACCTTGTATTAGGTATTCCCAGTAATCTAGAGATGGTTTAAATTTTACCCGGGACAGGTGTAGGTTATATGCAAACACTACACCTTTTATAAGGGACTTCAGCATCTGCAATTTTGATGTCCAAGGGCATCCTGAGCTCAGTGCCTAAACATGAGCTGTCAACATTGGACTGGACCTTGCCAGGTAGGATTTAGGGACAAATTAAAGAGCAAAGGGAAAAACTTTGATAAAGCGATAACCGCAAGAGTTTGGTTGCTGATATAGCTGCGTATTTACTCACCATACTACATATCTCTCAGCCAACAATTTAAGCTGCTGCTGTAATCAAACCACTCAAAGATCAAGAAGTAAGAGAGAATCTTATTTATTTATCATGGAACAGTTTAGAGGTGAGTGGTGCAGTCTCATGGGGAAGTCTGCTCCAGAGTGTGGTCTTTGTATGGTGTGCATGGTGGAAGTTGGGTTTCCACCATGACCGCAGCCCAGGCCACGGGAAGAGGCAAATATAAGAAATGAAAGGTGAGCAATATCTCTTTAAGCAGATGACACAAGAGCTGTGCCCATCATTCTTATTTATATTTCATTAGCAAGAATTTGGCCTTGTGGCCACTCCTCACTGTAATGAGTCTAGAAAATGCTATCTCTAGATGACTCACCTTATGCATAGCTAAAATTCTATCACTGTGGGGAAAAAAGAGAATTAATTTAAGTGTATAATGAGTAGTCTGCTGAACTCTTCAATTTTTCTACCTCTTCCAAGAGTCAGTCATTTCTCATGACTGCATAAATGATCACACGAGACACGGATTGACAGTACACGCTGCAAGAGGTGAGGCTAATCATAGGTGCAGAATAACACTGAGCACTTCTCTCAGAGTCCTTTTATTGAGAAGATACATAATGGGTGGAAAGATTACTAAGCAAAGACATGCAGGGGCTGCGTGCTCAGGGAAAATGATATCATAGGTGTCAAAAGAGTATGTACTCGAGGAAATGATCTTCAAGGGTGGTAAGGGAAATAATCTCCAAAATACTACATGCAATTTTTCTCCACTAATCCTTCAAGGAACTGCCATAAAATGCTTAATATTTAACATTAGCCTTACTACTGCAGGATTGAATCCTCCAGGATTACTGAGTTACTTGGTGGCTTGCCTTCCAAGTCACAAGAGATTTCTAGACTTGCCAGGAGAATGTCTTGTTCTCAGTAATTCCTCAGATGAGTTATGATATTGATGGTTGTTGTACTAAGTATGATGTTTAATCCTCTATATAACTTGAATCCCAATTCCCATTCCTATAAATCCACTTTGCTAGGTTCCTTTTTTCCTTAGTGCTTTTCTTTTCTTTTCTTTCTTTTCTCTTTTTTTTTTTTTTTTTTGAGACAGAGTCTCACTACATCGCCCTTGGTAGAATCCCATGGCATCACACCTCACAGCAACCTCCAGCCCTTGGGCTTAAGTGATTCTCTTGCCTCAGCCTCCCATGTAGCTGGGACTACAGGTGCCCACCACAATGCCCAGCTATTTTTTTGGTTGCAGTTGTCATTGTTATTAGGAGGACTGGGAGGAGCTTGAACCAGCAGCCTTGTTGTATGTGGCCATCACCCTACCCACTGAGCTATGGGCATGGAGCCTCCTTGGTGCTTTTCATATCTGAAGCTAAAAATTCTGATCAGCCAGAACATCCAAATAAAGCAAAGAGAGAACTAAAGGTTGGACCATTAATATCAGCCATGCCAGGAAGGCTGTGATATTCACAGTGTGCTCCCAAATCACCCCCTATTCCGCATCTGTTATTTTAATTCAGTCAGATTCCTTGATCTCTAGGTCTTTTGATGCCCATCTGTAATGTACTCTTTTTGTCATTTCCCTCTCATTGCTTCCCTGCTGAGTTACCAATGCCATAAACCAATTGGTCTTGGTATCACACTG